CTTAGTTTGCCATGTATCAACTGAGGTTTATAACAATACTTATTCCAACCACCTCCCAGGATTACTGGGAACTTTGTAAGAGATAACATGTACTTAAAGTTCCTTATGATTATTATCTGGTCCACATGAAATGGGACCACAGAGGGGAGTGGAGAAGAGGCATTAAAATTAGTGTGTGAAGAAAGGATCAGAGCTGACCCAAGCCCACTGGCTTTGGTCCTACCTCCCTGGAGACAATGCATTTTGTAGCACCAGGCTATTGAATTTCCAACTGATTCTAGGCAGCAGGCATCCTCCTCTTCATTCCCCCTCACCCATCCCAGCCAAAGCCATCAATTCTACCTCTGACTTCACAATATCTAAACTCATAAGCTTCCTCCCTGCCCTACTCTCATCTTGGCTTAGGTCCTAGTCTTACCTTACAGCTTCTGCTTCTTCCTGCCTTTGGTCTCCGACCTCCTTCCCTCCCCATCCATGTGGAGGGCAGTTATTGCCCTAAAAAAGCAAATGTGATTGTATACTTTTCTACTTTAAGAATCTTTGGATGGGGCCTGGTGGCTCACACCTGTAATCCCAGCACTTTGGGAGGCCTAGGTGGGTGGATCACTTGAGGTCAGGAGTTTGAGACCAGCCTAGCCAACATGGCAAAATCCCATCTCTACTAAAAACATAGAAATTAGTCAGGTGTGGTGGTGTGTGCCTATAATCCCAACTACTTGGAAGGCTGAGGCAGGAGAATTGCTTGAACCTAAGAGGCAGGGATTGCAGTGAGCAGAGATCATGCCACTGCACTCCAGCCTGGGTGACAGAGCAAGATTCCATCTAAAAAAATCCAAAACAAACAAACAACAAACAAACGAAGAATCTTTGTTGGATATCTAAGTCTATATATCTGTGGTGTGTCTATATCTGAAGAGGGAAGCCCAGTTATGAGGCTGCTCCCATCAGGTGAGAGATATTAAGTATGTGATCTAGGGTAGACAGAGAAATGGGAAAAGATTTGGGAAATAGGCTGGGCACAGTGGCTCACGCCTGTAATCCCAGCACTTAGGAGGCTGAGGTGGGTGGATTGCCTGAGGCCAGGAGTTTGAGACCAGTCTGGCCAACATGGTGAAACTCCCTCTCTACTAAAAAATACAAAAAAATTAGCTGGGCATGGCAGCATGTGAGTGTAATCCCAGCTACTCAGGAGGCTGAGGAAGGGGAATTGCTTGAACCAGAGAGTTGGAGGTTGCAGTGAGCCAAGATCTTGCTGCTGCCTGGGCAACAGAGTAAGAGTCTGTCTCAAAAAAAAAAAATTGAGAAATAATGTATAAAACTATAAACTCTACGTGTGTGTGTGTGTGTTGTTACACAACATGTGAACAGTAGTCATCTCTATGATTCTTCTATGAATTCATTCAATAAATGTTGATCGCATGTCTGCCATTTGTCAGGTATCATTTTTGGCACTGCAAACATGAAGGAATGACATAGGCACAGAGCCTGCCTTCTTAGCTTATCATCTGTTGAAGAGAGGAAGAACATCGTGAAAATAAATAGGAAATCAACCAGGGCCAAGTGATAGTGACTTGGGTAACTATTTGAGATAAGCTGGTTAGGGAAAGCCTCCTGAGATGGGGTAGGAGATAGGGACTTGACTCTGGAGGTCATTTGGAAGGATTCATAGTTCTCAAGAAGTTTTACTGAGAGCGTCTGTAATCCCAGCTATTTGGGATGCTGAAGAGGGAGGATTGCTTGAGCCCAGGAGTTCAAGACTAGCCTGGGCAACATATGGAGATACTGCTTTAAAAAAAAAAAAAAAGCCAGGTTCGGTGGTTCACACCTATAATCCCAGCACTTTGAAAGGCCGAAGCGGGCGGATCACAACGTCAGGAGTTCAAGACCAGCCTGACCAACATAGTGAAATCCTGTCTCTATGAAAAACAAACAAACAAACAAACAAACAAAATTAGCAGGGCATGGTGGTCGGCGCCTGTAATCCCAGTTCCTTGGGAGACTGAGGCAGGAGAATTGCTTGAACCTGGGAAGTGGAGGTTGTAGTGAGCCAAGATCCTGCCATTGCACTCCAGCCTGGGCAACAAAAGTGAAACTCCATCTCAGAAAAAAAAAGAAAAAAAAAGTTTTGCTGAGAGGTTAGATGAATCATGGATTATTTTTCCCCCTGTTTATCCATATATTCTTATTTTTCAACAATGAGCATTGGGCTAAGACTCTGGACCAGACTCTAGATTAGACTTTCAGATTTAACATCTGGAAGTCACTGCCCTCTTTCCATGGCTATGACTCAACAACCCAGAAGTTACCTACCTTTTTTCTAGAAATTTCTGCATAATCTGCCCATTAATTTGCATGTAACTAAAAGTGGGTAGAAATATGAATGCAGAACTGCCTCTAAGCTGCTACTCTGGGCACACAGCCTATGGGATAGCCCTGCTCTGCAAAGAGCAGTCCCTCTGCTCCTGCTGTACACTGCCACTTCAACATAAGTTGCTATCTAATGCTACCACCTTGCCTTTGGATTCTTTACTGGGTGAAGCGGAGAATCCTCCCAGACATAAATCCAAATGTTGGGGCTGCCTGCCCTGCATCATGAGGAGTTACTTGAGCGGAACCTCAATGAGGAAGAAGAATGAGCTGGAGACGTGTCTGGAGAATATTCCAGATAAAAGCAAAAGGAAGAGCAAAGACTCTTGGGTGAGAAAGAGTTTGCATTTTTGAGGAAAGCCTGCCAGTGGGAATGCCAAGCAGTGTTCTGGGGAAGGACGTAGGAGGTGTCCAAGGGCATGGAGAGAGGCGGTCAGATGCAGAGTCTGTTTTATAGATGTAATTAACTGCTTGCTGATGGATTGACTGGCTGTGAGGGTGAGCGGCAAGAAGGAATCGAAGATGAGTTAGGGTGGATGGCAATGTTTGCTGAGACAATTAGGAAAGAAAAAGATTTGGGAATAAAAGTTGAGTTCAGTTTTCGACATGTTAAGTGTGATATGCTAGTCATTTCAGTGGAGATGACAAATGGCAGCTGGAGAAATAAGCCTGCAACTCCAGGAGAGGTCCTCACGGTAGGTTTGCTATGGTGAATCAACAGTCACAGAGCTTGGAAGGATCCCCCAGGGAGAAACTGTAACTAGTTCAGAGAAGAGGGTGGAGGACAGCCCTGGAATATCCCAACATTATCAATAGAACAAACAGCGGCTGAGGAGCCTGGGGAGTGAGGTTAGCTGGAAACCAGCAGAGCGGAGCACTGGTGCTCTTACTGAGTGAGGAAGGTGTGTCCAGGTGGAGGATGTAATTAACTGTCCTCAACATCACTGAGAGGAGGCGTAAGACAAGGGCAGGGAAGAGAAGAGATGCAAGATTTGGCAACATGTAGGTCATTATGATTACTATGACAAAAGCAGCTTGAGCTCAATTCTGTCTGGAGTATAGGGAAGGAGGGTTGAGGACGTGCATTTGGAAGGGTACATAGTTCTCAAGTTTTGCTGAGTGCATCCGTAATCCCAGCTATTTGGGACGCTGAAGTGGGAGGACTGCTTGAGCCCAGGAGTTCAAGACCAGCCTAGGCAACACATGGAGACCCTGCTTTAAAAAAAAAAAAAAAAAAGGTTTTGCTGAGAGGCTAGATGGATCATGGATGTTTTCCCCCTTTTTATCCATATATTCTTATTTTTCAATAATGAGCATTGATTACTTATATAATAAGAATTTTAAGCCTATACACATTGCAGACAGCATCCCACTGTTTGAGGGGAAAACTCTTCAGTAGAACATGGCAGACTTTCATCTTCCTTCCCTGAACCTTTTCTAACCTTAGGCTCGCCATTCTCCACCAGTGCCAATCTCATGTCTCCTGAAATCAGTATTGAAGTCAGTATTTCATTTTTGCCAGTTTCCATTGTGTGTGTGTGTGTGTGTGTGTAAATTTGGAGTCTGGTGTGTCAAGTAACAGCTGGGGCTGGGGACTTACCTCTCAGCATTGGTAAGTCCCCTCACCCACCCCATCTCACATCCAAGATCATCCAGTTACACACTTACCATCCCCAGTTCATTCAGGTTATCAGTCTCAGAGCTACAGAGATGTTCCTTTTCCACCTCCTACTTCCCTGGCTCTTAGAGAGGTGCATGGGATAATGGGGGAAATGAATAGGGCCTAAAAGTAGAGGGACAGGGGCTCACCTCCCCATCTGCCACTTATTAGCTATGTGACCTCGGGCAAATCTCTTTTCTTTTTGAGACAGGGTCTCCCTCTGTCACCTAGGACGGAGTACAGTGGTACCATCATAGCTCACTGCAGCCTCAAACTCCTGGGCTCAAGCCATCCTTCCACCTCAGCCTCCTGAACAGCCGGGACTACAGGCACATGCCACCACGTCCGGCTAATTTATTTATCTATTTTTATTTGGGAAGATGGCTAGTCTCACTATAACGTCCAGGCTAGTCTTGAACTCCTGGTCTCAAGCAATCCTCCAAACTTGGACTCCCGAAGTGCTGGGATTACATGTGTGAGCCCAGGCCTTGGGCAAGTCTCTTAACGGCCTGGTGTGCCTCAGTTTCCTCATCTGTAAAACGGGGTTAGTAAAACCCGCATCCTACCAGTGGTGTGAAGGATGGGCCGACTCTTGTATTGCCTGCTCTAGTGCGATCAGCAGCTAAGGCGGCTCGCTTTCCGGCTGTGCTACAATAGGTAAGAACCAGGTTGCTTTAGACGTGTGACTTGGGCAGTGGGAGTCCCTCACATGATCCCGGGATGCCAGACAGTGTCTCTTCGCACAGAGCGTGTGCTGGTCCAGTGACCCGTTTTTCTAGTCGCCCCACACCCCGGGTCCGTGATCACGCTCCCCCCACGCATAGCCGAGGCTGACGCGGCGGTGGCTCATGCGCCTTTCCGCCCCAGCCTTTCGCCACGGACCACACGTCCCATCTCAGGCGCCCCGCCCCGCCCCCGCCCCCCGCCCCCGGCGCGCCTACCCAGGCTGTAGGCTCGGGTGTCGGAGCGGCCGCGCCCGCGAGCCGTGAGCGCTGATTGGCTGCACCGAGGCGGCGGGCGGCCCGCCGGCGCACACACCCTCCCCGCACAGCCAATGGGCGTGCGCACGTCACGGACCTGGAGGCCCGCGGGCCGGCAGCCCTTCAATAAGCCACATTGTTGCACGAAACTCCAGCGCAGGAGTCCTGGGCCGCCGCGGGCAACGTCGTGTCACTCAGCTAAGAAGATCTGCGGACTGGAGCCACGCGCGTGTGAGCCGAAAGGTCCCATTGCCCAAGTGGAGCCGGGCTGCGATTCTTCTCAAGTTGAGGCTCAGTGAGCCTGTGGCCGAAGTTAGCGCCTTGACGTGGGACAACTCGACACGTCGCCAGGAGGGTACTGAGGCGCCTTCTAGCAGTTGAGACACCAAAACGCCGTCTCCAGAGACCCGCGCCCCACGCCAGCCGGGCGTACCCTCGCCGTTAGCATTCTTTGTGCGCCGCCAGGACTCCCAGCACCCCGCCAGGCAGCCGAGCCGCGGCTGCACAAAGCAGCCGAACCGCGCCGCCCGCCTCCCCACACGCGCCCCCGCCTCGGTTTCCCAACTCTGCGCCGTCGGGCAGCGGCAAGATGATTGCCTCGCATCTGCTCGCCTACTTCTTCACGGAGCTCAACCACGACCAAGTGCAGAAGGCAAGTCAGCGCGGGCAGGGCGGCGGGCTGGGCTCCGGCAAAGTGGCGTGGGCTCCGGGAGTCTCCTCCTCGACCCTGCGGGGACCCGCTTCCTCCCCACCCGGGGCCCGGGACGCGGGAAAAGTTTGGGCAGCCGGGACACTCCTGGGCGCCTGGAGCCAAGTCCGCTAGGCACGGCTGGCGAGTGCGCGCCGGCGGGGAGCCGGGGTCGCGCTCCGCCTGGCGCCCTCCCTCCCAGCGCTCCCGCACGCGCTCACGCTCTCTCCCCCAGCCCCTTTTTCCCGGTTACTGGAGGGACTGGTCATCCCACACGTAGTCTGGGATTGCTGCGCCCACGTGGAAGGGAGCCCCCTTCAGCAGCGCGAGTTCCGGCGAGAGCACGTGGGGAGGACAGTGGCTGCGGTAGGCGGCTCCACTGCCGCGTGGAGCCGCCGGGGGCCGTCAGAGCTGGCGGACCGCATGTAGGAGACAAGCGGTTCCCTCCTCTTTCCTCGCTGCCCCGCGAGGATAGGCCTGGGGAGAAACTGACCCGGGAAGGTGTAGGAAAGAGGCAGAGGAGCTCTGCCTGCCGCGCCCCCTCCCCGGAACTGTGGCGCCCGGAACTGTGGCTTGGCTATGGGCGTCCCCCACTAACCCTCGGCCCCCCCCAATCTGCCTCGGGACTGCCCCGCCTCGTGGCCCCAGGGCCTGCCTCCGAGTCAGGGGGAGGGCTTTCGTTGTTTCTTTCTGGTTTGTTCCAAAAGTTACTCGGAGAGGGCCAATCCCCCGCGTTCCTGGATTCCTTGAGATTTGTGTCCTTCCGAAAATGACCTTTTTCTTGTCTTAGACCTCAACCTGTCTGCGCCCACCTCTCTCTCCGCAGTTCCCTACAGCGGAACGCTCACCCCGCCTGGGTCATTTGCATAAGAAAGCCTAGGGCCCAGCTGGGAACCTCACAGTCCCGGCCTCGGGGTGTGGGGGTGGGGACGGGGACGGGCTGGGCTAGGGGCGCTCTCAGAATTGAGTTTCTGAAAGGCCCGGGATTAGGGGATTGGCTCCTGGCCCGGGCCTGGGCTACGATTTGAGGTAGGGAACAAGTTGGGAAGGGATTAGGGGAAGGGAGGTTGTTTTAGAGCCATGAGGCAACTGAGCGTTGCTCAATTACATGCTTGAAATATCAATGTCTGGTGGGAACACATTTTTTGGAAAATGTCTTGACGTTATCGTTCTTTGCGACAACCTGCTCGTACTCCCATTCTAGAGGTCCCGAGGGCATAGGAGGCACCTTGATGTAGTGATGGCAGGTGAACCTCCAAGAAAAGCAGGAGTTACTCAGCCTCAGTCTGGAGGAGAGAGCAGAGGCGGTTGGTTTACTTGAGTTTTACTGTTTGTAAACGGCTGTTATTCTCCAACTAATTCCTTAAGATTTGTGTCCTTCCGAAAACGAGCTTTTTCTTGTCTTAGGCCTCGACCTGTCTGTGCCCACCTCGCGCTCCGCAGCTCCCGACAGCCGGGCGCTCACCTCAGCCGGGTCATTTGCGTAAGAAAGAGCCTCCAGCCCAGCCGGGAACCTCACATTCCCCGCCTCTGCACCTTAATTCAGTTTATTTAAAAACGTGTCTTTGAGCTGGCAGGATCTTGGTAACTTCTTAACTTCCCAGAACTCTTGGGGAAGGCTATCATCTCTTGGCAAGTCCTAAAATACACAGTGGAGGATCATTAATCTTATTGAGTTCTTTTTGTATTACCCAGGACATTCGAATCCTTGCATAAATTCACTCTTCCTCAATTCAGAGGTGGGCATTAGGACTGGAGCCCTGGTGGCCTTATACCGCTCTCCATCTTGGAATGGGGGTCATCTCTCGGTTCCCAGAGTGGAACGGGAATTAGCCAGGATATCTGGAAATGAGTCGTAGTTCCTCTCTAGTGGTTTATTAACCACAGGACCCTGAGCCTCTTTGGACAGCCCGTTTCTTTTTGTAAAATGCCAGTAATAACAACAGGCTTGTCCACTTTATGGAGCTGCGATGATTAAGCACAGCAGTGTGCAGCTGTCATTCCTGTAGGCTTCTTTTCTTTACCTGTCAGTTTGAGTAGTGTGTCCTAGGACACTTAGGTGTATTTCCTCTAAACTACCAATGGGGGCAGAATTGAATCAGGCCTTTAACTCAATAGGTGTCAGAACCTGGGTCTCCCAGCTTAGGTGAGCCAAGCTGTTTGATTCCAATGGCAGTTAGAAAGAAAGCAGAGAAAGACTCAGAGAATATCCGGAAGCATCTTTCTGAGCTGCCATTGGAAAGAAGAATTAAGATAGAAGAATGAGTATTGAGTATAACTTCAGCGTCTTTTGAAAAGACCTTTTGATGTGGACCCCTCTGAAATCCCCTTGTGATAACATCATCTTACATATTCTGGGTTGTAGTCTGATGACATGGAAGGCTTGGGCTCACCTGCCAAGTGAAGTCACTTGTCTCCTGATGGACAAGACCATGTTTTGGGGCATTAGAGATGAGAATAAGAGTTATTTGCTCACTTTTGCCACATTTTGGAACTCAGGAGCGACAGCAGAGCACCCACTGTATACCTGGCACTGTTCTAAGCTCTTTAGGTATGTCAGATTATTAACATTCAAATCAATACCATGAGACAAAGACCGAGTGCTATCAGCATGCCAGTTTAACTGGTGAGAAACTGAGGCCCAGGGTAACTTGCCGAAGACCACCAACTTTTCTGTACGAGCTGGGAATTGAAGCCATGCAGTTGGCTTTAGAGCACCATGCTCTTGAGCACATACTTGCCTGTCTCTGGGGAACGTGAGCAGGCTCCTGGCCCATTCCTGTGCCCACTCATGGATGCTGACACCACCCGCCCCCCCACCCAGCATGGCCACAGACGGAGCTAGCTCTTCTGTTGGTTTGATCAGTGGCACCGGCACCCTCTGGCTATTCTGTCTGAGAGTCCCGGATTCATTTTCATCAACTCTCTAACTTTGTCAACTAGTCTCTGAGTTACTTTGGAGGACTCCTAAGGGTGTCCCTATTTCTAGTCTCTTTCTGGAGCCAGACTGGATCTTTTCAGGAGCCCTCTACAGCTCTTTATTGCTTCCCACTTCTACCCCCCGGCTCAGCCTCATCTTCCTCTCCATCCTTTCATTCCTCTGTCCTGCCTGTTCATGCTAGGTCCTTTTGCCCTTGCCATTTCTGTGGCCCTGACCTCTGCTTGGCTTCTTTCCACTTAACCCCTTCCAGCTCAAATGCTGGTTCCTCTCTTAATTTTCTTTCTGCCTCCTTCCCCCGCTCCAGTGTGCTGACATAAGTGTGTTTGAATCTTGCATGACATTTGCTTCATTTCACCATAATGTTAGATAGAGTTGGTGGTTTTCAGTTTGGGTTCCTTCCTTGATTCTCCTTCGGCAGGGAGAATCTTGACTGTTAGGTTTGTCGCCCCAGTTCCTGGCCGCTGGTGAGGTGCTCAGTGAGTACAAGAGTGAAGGAGGAGAACTTCCTGGAGAAATAAGCTAAGTGAGGGCTGCAGGAAGTAGAGGAGCTGGGTGGGGCGGCTAGTCCTAGGCTAAAGAGAGGGAAGGGCAGTTCTCATCTATCCTGTCATCCAAAGCATGGCCTGAGGCTGGTCCTGAGAGGGAGAGAGAAAGGGAGGAGAATTTCCTGCCCTTCAGCAATCAAGGCCATATGTCCTGCCTGTGGAGAGATAGAGAATTCTTTCTATTAATTGAGATAAATTAGTATACAAGATGCAGGATTTTGTCTCTTAAGAATGAGAATCAGGGTTAACCACAGAAATAAAATGAAGCATATGCTCTTTCCTCTGGCCATTGACTAAATTGTTTTAATACACACAAACTGGTGGTGTTTGCACTGGAATCCTGTAATAGACATAGCCCACGTAGACTCCTTGCTGTATGAGCAAGGGGTGACCTTTATTTAGTGCTGGGCTTGAGAGGAATATCTTGGAAGCAAAAGGATTGAACAGAGACCCCAAGAGTCAAGAAACCTAAGAATTTTGATGTGTGTTTTTTTTTAAGAACCTACAGGAGCGCCAGGCCCTTTGAGTGTGATGTGGAAGACAGAAACCCAGGCACTTCTCAGTTGTCTAGAGACAAAAGGCTCCAGGAAGAGATAATTTATGGCCATCTAAGTCAAAAGAGAGTGAATTACCATGGGTGGGAGGGGAGTTAGAGGCCTCAAGGAATCTTGGCACATTTGGACACCTACTGTGTGCCATTAGTCTCCATATATGAGATTAGAGTATCGAGAGTGAATTGCTGATTAAAACCCTAATAAGATTATTTTTTTCTTTGTTAATTTTCATTGGGCAAACTGACATTGACAGGTTCAGTTCACTCCATTTGTTCAATTTGTAACATCTCTGTATCCTAACTCCATCCCTTTCTCTGCTCAGAAGACAACTGATGGTAGTAGGAATACTTTGTAGCTTTTGTTAACTATCCCTTTGTTTTATATTGCCAAATTTCTATTTCAGAGATCCCTAAGAAGTACTTTTTTCTCTACCTTTGAATGAATTAACATCCCTCTGAGCTCAGCCAAAGCCAACTTTTTTTTTTTTTTTAACATCACTTTTTAAAGTTGAACTTTTCCAGTACCCTGGGGAGTTCAGGCATTTGGAGGTCCTTTTCCGGGGGGAATCAGAGCAACACAAACCACAGTTGGCCGTGGGAGTAAGAAGATCTGTTGAACTGAAAGACCTTGGAGTCCCAGAAAACTGTCTTCCTTTGTTCAGATACTTCCGGTTTAAAAGACCAAATCTTGATAAGAGATTCCTCATTATCATCGTTGAGCTTTGAAGTCAGGAGGTTTGGTTTGTTTCCAACACTGTGTGTTGTCTGTCTTTGCCTTTTCAAAGCTGTGGAGGTTGGGGTGTGGCAAATTAAATCCCACAGCTTACTGGACATGTCTTCATATCACACTGTGTGCATCACGCACCATGCTTCCTTGCACTGGAGTGGCTCTTTCTGCTTCTTTCTTACTTTTTTTTTTTTTTTT